GTTTTAAAATCAAATAAGCCCAAACTAAAGTATCAGAAATTGATAGAATTTTTGGTGAATTCAAAAATAATTGTGTGTTTTTAAGCCACTTCGTTTTTTTTTTGTTTTAGATTGCTGATAAGTTATAAAATAAAAATATAAAAAGCTATTTCACTAACGCAAAAACTAGTTGGTCTCTGTCTCGCTACGATAACGCACTGAAGAGAACTGCACGTTTTTAGCAATGCCTGATTTCGTTGTTTCGTTCGTAGATCGACGTCACTAAATGATTACGTCAGGTCCAGGACATTATGAATTATCTTTACCTGGGTATGAAGATAACTCAAGATAGAACACTCGATGCTGCTATAAAAGACAGAAACATACAGGGTAGAAAAGCCATATCCATGATGAACGACATTTTGTGGGACCAAACAATATATAAAACAAACAAACAACTCATATACAACACCATACTTAAAAGTGCAATAAGTTTGGCCAATGAAACAAAGAGCAGAGAAACTGTATATAAATACTAGCAACAGAAATGGACTTCTGGAGAATTGCAGTAGGCAAATCAAGAAGAGATAGGATAACAAATGAGAGAATACGAGAAATGATGGGAGTCAAGCATACAAAAGTTGATATCATAAAAACAAAACAGTTAATAAGGTACGGCCATGTACAGAGAATGCCAGATGACAGGATTCCGGAACAGATTTTGACGTGGACAAAATAAGAGAGAAGGAAAAGGGGAAGGTCGAGAAGAAGCTGGAGAGAGGGAATTGAAAAAGAACTAGAGGAAAGAGAAATCCCTCCAGGCCTATGGTTAAATAGAGAAGAATGGCGGTTAGGAGTCGGAGAACGCTGTAAACCGATAGTAGTAGTAACTAGTCGTATTGAATATTTACTGCAGTGTATTGTAAGATGTGTGTTCATTTCTTGGAGTTCCAACCCTGTATATCATGTAGTATTCAAGCACAGACACTTGGTTTCATCCAAAGCGACTATTTATTTAAGTCGCGAATAATTGCCGTTTATTGGTATATATCTACCTAACTCATCAATTAAATCATTGCATTTGAACATCTTACACAATATCCAGTTGATTCTGATTCACGCTATTGGTTTATATATTTATTCCTTATTTATTGCAAACTAAAGTCTGCATTCAAAAATTTGGATTTAATTTCTGAAAGATAACTGGCATATGTATATTGTTCTCAATGCAATATAATTCATATTATTTGCTATCTCATTGACGTTCTTACCATTATATACGTGTTACATAGTCCAATTAGAACCATAAAGTAATATTGGTCGAAACAATATTACTCTTATCATTACTTTTGAAGAGCGAAACTTTTAAGGTTAGCTAGCGGTGAAGAGGGACTGAAAAAAAAACCCAACGTGAAGATTCTATCCGTCCGGCACTTACTGCATAATTGGGACAGCTATAGCAAAATTCATTAAGCGATGCAGGGAGATGTAAACATTAAATCGTGTCCGAACCTGTATGAGCTGCCGACAACGTCGGCAGATGAAATAAAGATGGACATTTCAGTTAGTTTTTAAATATTTTTGAAGAACTGTTACTTGCATGTATGCATAAAATATTCATTACTTTTATAAATCGGATTATTTTTTCACTTACTATGTATTCAGTGATAACAATAATATATTTACTATGCAATAAACACTAATATTTGAGAAAAGAAAAAAAATAATAAAGTGTCATAATTATACTGTTACTTATCGGAACGAGTACTCATTTGGAACATCTTTAACAATTATCTGTTAAATTTATCGGTGTTTATATGCCCTGCATCGCTTAATGAAATAAGGTATAGTCAAACTAAATATTATATAAATATTTTCCTTTTTTATGATGTTAACTAATTATGACATCAAAACTTTTTTATATGACTTTTTCAGAAGTTAATCAACATTTTTTTAACATATATCTACAATCTTTCTTCCCAGTGACTCCTCTTCGGTAAAGATAATAATAAAAGTTTCGCTTTTGTCGGCAATTCTAGTTTCACACGCCTTTTTTACGAGAACTAAAATGACTTGTTTCCAAATGTGACAACTGATTATGTTTTACAAATTTTTATGAAAAGAATTCCACTGATGGATGCACATTGATGCCAATACAAATTTTTGACTATACGGAGGCACAGAATAATAAACAATCAGAATGCCCACTCTGCTTGGAAAAATAAGTAAGCGCATCTCGTTCGCGCAGACGGAATCAGCCATGTTTTAAACGGAACCAGTGCTGTTCAGTGATATTTTATCTGCTGTCCATAGACAAATTAACCAGGTTTAATTTATTTACGGTAACTACAGACATAATATGCACTATTTTATTCGTACATACTTTTAGTTGAAGAATAGATTAAAATATTTCAAATGTAATAAATTATATTAATCTCTAAAAATTTAAATTACAGTTCTGTTGTAGCTTGTCACAAATTTCTCAATTCGAGTGTATGTTTCCGACTAAAACATGGCGTTAGCGTGCTCACAAACTTCAAAGGCGGCATCTGAGAGTGGGCATTCTGATTGCTTATTATTCTGTGACGGAGGTCTTGGTCCTCGATTTCCACTTGTTGCAAGACACCCATCTTTTGTCGTGATTGATCTGGTTGTTTTTTATCCCTTCACCTTTAAGTCAAAAACTTGCAAACTGAATAATGCGTCTCTAATACCAAGGTTCTTTCTGAAACCAAACTGTTTCGTCTAATTGTTCTTCATTTTAATATAAAGTGTTGAGTGCATTATCTTAAGAAAATAACGTGGTTTCTTAGAGTGATAGCATGATGGTCGCTGCATTGTTTACCGTTTATTTGATAATAATATATATATATATATTATATATATATATTATATATATATATATATATATATATATAATATCAATATTTTTATCTTCATTTTCTCAATAAATGGTAAAATAAAGTTAAATAAAAATTTGATCAACTGCACAAATTTAGGAGCATTTAATTAACCACGTATTAGATTCAGGTCACTTTTACACAATCCGACGATTGGTGGATAAAGAACGACTAAACTGTGATTACTTTTACCTTATTCTTTCTAAAACTTAAAGTTACAAACACTGCAAAATCGGCTTGAATTTACATAGATTAAGGCGAATTTTTATATGAAATTTATTAGTTTTAAGAATTTCAAGCAACAAAATTATATTTAAAAACTTTTAAATTAATCTTTTAAGTTGGTATAATAAATACTTCTAGAAGACTTTTTAACATCAAACTCGCATGTAAAATGTGATCACAGTTATATTCTGTTTCGCAATGTTTAGTTATGTCCTCTCTCTGTTGTCTTATAGCAATTTTTTTAACTTTTTTTTAACTTTTAATTTTTCAACACCTGTTTATTCTTTCATGCTGTCTACGAAAACACGCTTGTTATTTTGACTTATTTTATTATTGACAGGTGGCACTGACAACTTAGGTTGTATCTTGAAAGGGTTGGATAAAAATGGTAGAGATAGGGTCTTCATTTTTATGTTATTTTTAATATTGACAATTTAATGCTGTAATCGGTCAAATCCTTTTCTTTTAGCCTATAATTAAGCCCTATATATCTTCATGTGGTAAATGAGTCCAATCTGTAATATGTCTGCCAATGACAGTTTGATAAATGTATGTCAAAAACTGAAAATGTACTGAAACTTTTTTTTTACTGAAAATTTTATTTACTGAATAATCTCATCATTTAAATGCATATGTAAAAACATTAGTCTGCTTATTGATTTTAAATATAGCTATGTCTCCGTCTAGAAAATCCAGTTATATACAGTCTATCTAATTTACTTACCGTTGCACGTCATTATCATTGATACAGATTGAAGTTGACATAGTTGCCAAAGTATAAAAAAATCCTGAATCAATTTTAAATCAAATCGGTCACATAATTATTGCAAAAGTGGATTATACAACACAACAAATTAATATTTAATGTAAATAAATAGAAACAAAACAAGAGTTAAAAAATAGTATTGTTAAAAACAGTTTGAGCCACTTATATGCGTCGTATAAAGATGTAAAATGGAATACTTAAACAAAAACAACACTTTTTTCATTACTTATTTACTTTGAAATGTTTTGTTACAACTAAATTTTCAAATGTTTTTTCTTTTTCTTCAGATTTATTTAAATTTCGGTTTTCTGATCGATAGTGATTAGATAGAGATCCATTATATATCCTGTTCAAAAGAATGAATCAAAGAAACTACTATCTCTTTACAACGACTATTTAAATTCTGGCGTGACATTTAAAAAAAAACACACTAATTTTGTTCTAAAAAGAACAGATTTTATTAAATAGGTGAAAATATAAAAGAAGAGGTATTCACTTTAAAATTCAAAATAATAAAGTACAAAAACATTCAAAGAAAAGCCACTCGAATTCCTTTGGAACCGAGAAAATCTTATACAGAAAGAGTATAGCTAACCTAACTTTTTTTGAACTTCACCGACAACGTGGAGATTTAATTACAACGTTTAAAATATTAAAATTCAATTTTGGAAATGTCGATGAAATGTTGAATTGATTGAAATGACCATAAATCAATATGAACGCCTCACAGATCATCAGTTTAAACTTCAAAAAGAGAAGCTTTCTACAAGATCAAGACAAAACCAAATAGAGTTTTTGAGTGCTGGAATAATCTTAATTGTGTCTGCTCCCTCTACCAGCTCGTTAAAAAACAGACTTGACCGTTTTAATTGTTTTTATTTTAAACCAAAAATTGTAATTTGGTAATTTACTGGTAGGTTACTAATGAAATTTTTTTGTTTTTGGGCATAATAGGGACTTGTTCCTCTGCCCCAGCTTATGTATAATAATAATTTTTCGATAGGCATTAAAAAAAAAATTAATTTGACACAAATCTATCAAAAGCCATCAGCTGAATTACTAAAGATCAAGGACTGGTATATTTCGTGTCTTCATTCTTAGTCTGTAACCATAAAATCAAAAACTTACATATAATAACTTGTATATTTACGAAGATATGCACTATTGAATGTCAACTACTGCATATATAAATATCAATAATAATGAATACGAGATATATATTTTGTCATTATTCTAATAAGTCCGAACTAACATTAAATAACATCATTAAAACATGACATAACAACATACTAATAAAATAATACATATAATAAATAAACCTAAAGATTTTTTTTTATAAAAAACAAAATTATTTGTTTAGCCCTTAGAATCATTTGTATACAGAACAACGACGCAGATAAATAAAATTGATATAGTGAATTACATAATTGGAAAATTCGTGGTTTAATTATTTGTTATAGGGAGAAATACACAGTATTATTCGCCCCATGAACAATTTGTCAGTCTGTTATTATCCTCCGAAATTTCTTGTTAGGGGGTTGAATTTCGTCATCGTCGAACATCTCATACGCGTATTCGGGAAGGAACTTCTCCAACTGTTCATCAAAAAACTTTTCTAGTGTCTTGGCGTCAGTGTATATTTGCGAATCCACCTAAACAATAAAATTAAAAGAAAATTTAGTCAAGAGAAAAGTAACAACAATACGAACACAAATATCAAATCAAATAATAAATTCAATTATGGTAAAAACCTAGTAAATATCAATCTTTCAAATAGTAATCTTAATAGTAGTAATAGTTTTCACTAGTAAATGTTTTTGAGTATAATTTATTTATGTAAACTCGGTTTCATCGTTCTTGGCGTGTGCCTGAAATAAGCTACTACGGAATTTTTAATAATCGTCTCTCTCTGATACACAGATGCGTAATTCAATTGTGCGAGTCACGTTTGTCATGGTAAAGTACGATGAGAAGAGAATGAAGAGACCACTCACGTCTCTCAGTATTGTAGCAATAACACCGATGCGTTTGGCCGATACTTGTGTCGGTGATAAGTTCGGCCTCTTTACGAATACAGATAGCTGCCACTGGAGGAGGTAAATGAATCGAGCTTAGACAAGGAAAGACAGATGAAACAACTTATTGCAAGTGTTTTTATACGCACACGCCAAGAAAGATGAAAACGTCTATAGCATATTTACGTCTCCATACATGAATATACATATACACAATAAAAGCACATATTATAAAGTAATTACAAACAAGCAATTAAGTTATTTACACCGGAAGATAAATGCGTTGAAATGGAGTAATTCAAATACAAACACGACTCATTCAATATGTTCAAGCAGAGAAATAGCTGGGTTCTATCATAAGAAAACTCCTCATACTCGACAGGAAAATGATAATAAATGGAGAAGAAATTCTGAAAAATTGGTATACGTAAATAAATGAACTATTTAATAACTTCAGACCAAAAGACCAAGAGACATTAGGTGAAAGCTAAGGACCAGAAATACTAAAGGTAGAAGTACTGTATTCTATAAAGTTGGCAAAGAACAGGAAAGCTGTTGGCTCTGATAATATCCCGGCAGATATGTTAAAATTAATTAACAAAGAATAGTACATTAAAATGTTGGTTAAATTTTTCAATAATGATCAATTGTTGACCTTTCTTTTCGGAATCCACATTGGTATTTGCCTATCTTTTCATCAGTATATACTAGTAAACGATCAAAAAATATATAAGCCAGTACTTTGTAGGCCGTATTTAGGAGGGTAATGCCTCGATAGTTTTCCTTCTCTCCAAATGGATGCAAACATTCCAAATAGATCGACAAAGATCCGACGCCATGAGTAAGAGAGGCCTAAACGATGGAGAATGGGACAACAGAGAGAGATGGAAACGGTTGAGCGAGTGAAGCCATTGAATACTGCAGAATCCCTGAATGTACAAGTTGACAATAATCATGAACATTCTAACTTTCGAACAGATCTCTAAAAGGTTGTCTTAAAACTACAACCATACCACACTCTTTCGAGTTCCCCCACCCGTTAGATTAAAACCCATACAATACGCCTGACTGCGACGCCAACTGTTGTGATCGGTTACACCACATTTACGAGAGTTTTAAACCGTTTCTTTTAATCTTTTAATGACTGCACATTCATGTTCCATTTTAATATTTTTATTGTAGACAATTTTACACACTTTTTCTTAAATTATAGCACACTCAAACATCAAATGCTACAGAAAATTTAAAAAATGAATCACACAGCAATTTAATATTTACCTTTGCTTTGGGAGAGTCTTTAGGCATCTGTGAGGCATATTAATGGAGAAAAACCATAAATACATTTTAATACAATTCTCACAAAATCAAAAATTCGACGTTTTTGATTTTGGATCATAATTTAAGTCATTCACACAAAAAACAAGTTTTTTTTTCTTAAAAGTTTTATGATAAATAATTTATAAATTTATAAATATTGTTATGAACCACACTTAATATTTTAAAGGTAATAAATCTGGATAGCTTGATATTTTTGTCAATTTCTTATTCTTATTCTTCTTTGTTATTTCTTAAATATAGTAACTGTAGATATTTATTATGTTAAAAGCGAAAAACGACTTATTTTAAAGGTATTATGCAAAAGTTAATAGATCGCAGATGTAAAAAAAATTAATGAGCCATAGTAATCTCACATGAGCATTAGTAATCACTCTAGTAATCACAAGAAGCTCTTTTTGCCTTAAATGTGTTAACAAAATGATGCAGAAATATGAATGTAGATGTATCTCAGAACTATATTGGCACCAAACGGCAACAATTGAAATAAAGCACACAACATCCGAAGATTTACGAATCCGACGAGGAATGAGACAAAGTTGCTTCTTATCACCACTTTTATTTAATCTGTATTCGAAATCTATATTCAGAAAAGCATTAGATGAGGTTCAAAGTGGAATCAAGATTAACAGAACCAGCATAGACAACATTAGGTACGCTGATGATACCGTCCTAATAGCAAGCAAAACACAAGTACTACAAAATATAATAAATGCGGTACATTTGTACCCCAAGGTACAAAAAAAAAATAGAACAGGTAACTTCTAAAAACTATTTGGGGGCAAATAGCAAAAGTCAACAGCCAGCGTAACCCAAAAAAGAAATCCCGTAAAGAATCGAACAAGCGGGGAAAACACTCATAAAAGTAGATAAGTAGACACTTCAGCCCACTCTGACGTCACAAAATGGCGACTGACAGTTGTCACCTGTCAAACGTCAATTCTTCTTTTCGTCTGTCATCGTTCAACGTAAAAATTGCGTCAACTCTTCTTTTATACGCAACGTGAAGATAGCGTCAACTCTTCTTCTTTTTCGTCTGTCAACGTCAATTCTTCTTTTCGTCTGTCATCGTTCAAACGTGAAGATAGCGTCAACTCTTCTTCTTTTACGCAACATGAAGATAGCGAAGATAGATGGCTTAAGATAAAGGCTTATAACTTGTATTTTTATTTTATTTTTATACTTTATGTAATCGTTTCTTGGCTTAATATCAAGGCTTATAACTTGTATTTTTTTATTTTATTTTTATACTTTATGTATTCGTTTCTTGGTCTCTGTCTTAGGTTTCGTATATAACTTGTATTTTTATTATTTTCTTTGATAGTATGCGCTCCAATTGCGTAGGTTTTTGTAAGTGACAGATGAAAAGACTATATTCACGTAAAAAGAAGAAGAGTTGACGCTATCTTCACGTTGCGTAAACGAAGAAGATTTGACGCTATCTTCACGTTTGAACGATGACAGACGAAAAGAAGAATTGACGTTGACAGACGAAAAGAAGAATTGACAGTTGACGTTTGACAGGTGACAATGTCAGCCGCCATCTTGTGACGTCAGAGTGGGCTGAAGTGTCTACCTATCTACTCATAAACATGAAAACATTTTTTACAAGATCAGACCTTAGTCTGGAGCTCAGAATTCGAATGATCAGATGTTACGTTTTCTCTGTTTTGCTGTATGGCTGTGAAAGTCAATGCACTCTGAAACAGAAAAATAATACATGCCTTTGAAATGTATATATACAGATGGATGCTGAGAATTCCATAGATACAAAAAGTTACCAATGGTGAGGTACTTCGGCCCATAAGTAAACAAAAAGAATTACTCAGCATAATCAAGGAGAGAACAATACAATACTTGGGTCATGCGTTAAGAGGTGAAAGATATGAATTGCTCCAAATCATATTGGATGGTAAACTGCAGGACAAAAGATTAGTTGGAAGACGCCAGAACTCGTGACTGAAAGACCTGAGAAGATGGTTTGACCGCCCATCCACAGAAATCTTTCTTGCATCAGTTTCCAAAGCTATAATTGCCATTTGGATCGCTAACCTTCGAAACAACCGTATTTGAGAAGAAAATTCGACAATATTTGGGACAGAAGATCAAAAAAATAACTGGATGATTTTCAAGCTCATTTGAATTTATATTATAGAGACAAAGGAAAACAAATACATTAGTGTGTAAACAGAGGTAAATTTCATTATCAAGTTAAAAGGTATCAAAAAGTTTACACGGACCACAGATTTCATACGGAAGACCAAAAAATAACTGAAAGATTTTTATGCTAATTTTAATTTATACTATAGTAACTAATGATAGACAATTAGGGAGTACATTTCACCATGTTCTAACGTGTGAAAATGCTTCCAAAAAGTTTCAATCTATTTATTTCCTCTTTATTTTGCTAATTTTGTGAGACATTCCGTATATTAAATTATTTCTCCGCGGTATTTGCTCATATTTTTATTACCATTCTATACAAATTTATTTGTGTATATATAAACATTAGGGTTAACGGAATACAAGTTCCGTTAGCCCTAGATATTTATTTTGAAATATTCTAAATAATTCCTTTTAAGGTGCCGAAAAGGGCATTGTTAGATATTTATTTTGAAATATTTTCAAATAATCCCATCTCCTTTTAAGATGGCATATCTGCTACCTTCTCGATTACCCCTGTTTGGAATTAAATTTTTGTTGAACGTAATACCCAAAAAGGAGAGAAGATAAATTCGAGGTGGACAGCCTACGAAACCCTGAGATAGAAAATTTGAACACAAACTTAAAGAAAAACTAGAAGACCAAATGAGTAGTACTGTTGAAAACATAGATAATTACTGGAATAAGTGCGAAAATATCCTGAAAGAAGTAGCCACAACAGTTTTAGGCACAATGCGCACAGACAACTTAAAACAAGAATCAGGATTATGGGAAATTCCAAAACAGAAGGACAAGAATGGAGTACAAACAGATGAGACAAGCAGAGAAAAAGATACTAAAACAAAAGAAAAAACGACATTTAGAAAATCAGCTACAGGAACTAGAAAGGCTCTAGAGGCAATTCACAAAGCGAAGCGCGAAAATTTTATAAAAATGTGAACCACAACAGAAAAGAATTTAAACCTGGGTTAAAACCCAGGTTGAAAAAAGAGTTTAAACCCTAAATTTTAAACCATAATAAAAAGTAAGGAATCCGAAATTATCAATGAGCCGGATCAAATAGTGGAGAGATGGGCAGAGAATTTTGGTGAGAAATTAAATATAGGCAACCGAGAAGTGACTGACACAAATGACCACAGTGGAGACGTAGACGACGAGAGGGAGAAAATAATATACCAACAGAAGAAGTTGACAAGGCAATAAAAAGGTTAAAAAACAACAAATCCCCTGGAGAAGATGGTATACCCCTGAGCTGTTCAAGTTGGAGCAAATGCGCTAAAAAAATACATAATAAAACTTTTTGCATCCATTTGGAGAGGAAGGAAAACTCCCATATAGTTGGAATGTAGGTATTATAATACCTATTCACAGTTCACACCTATTCAAGTCGAAGATGACTTGAGGAATGTAGGGGTCAGAAATTGGAAAGCCAGAGCAAAGATAGGGGGAATGGAGACTAATTCTTGAACAGGCCAAGACCCACCCAGGGTTGTAGAGCCAAAGATGATGAGAATACCCAGAAAGAAACAATTCCAGATGATGGTCTATAAACCCCAGATACAATGTACCATTACAAATGTGTCAAAACAACCTAAAATTAATTGTAGATGATTTTGTTCAAATTTGGTACAAGATAAAAAATTATAAAAAAATGCATATTAACCGTGAGATCATGTTAAAAAATTGTGTGATAGTATTTTTGGTAATAATTTGATAACACATAATGGTTAAAATGTCAAAATCACTTATTACTAAATTTTAAAAATTGTGTTTTATAGTATTAGTAAACCATAATAAAACAACACAAATACTCACCGGATTATATAAATAAGCATTTTTAAACATTAGTCGGACATCTCGTACTAATTCTTCCATATTTCTATAGTGTATATCTGCACTCCAGTTTAATTTTTGCCGTATTGTATCCAATGCGATGGGCCTTTTAATAACTGAGTGATATTCTTCATTCTAAAATTTGAAACATTCCTAAGAATTTTGTTGGGCAATTATCAACATTTGTAAGGTTGAAAAACATGTTGTTAAAAAAGGTGTGTTTCCCGCTATTTATGGTATAGTTGTAGAACGAAAAAAAATAAAACATACAAGATTTATTTAAAAAAAATTAGTTTGTAAGTAATTTGCAAAGATATTTTTGGGTTGATTATCACAGACAGTGTTCAAAGTATCTGCATTACATATCGTGTGAAAAATAAAATTCAATGTTACGACGAACTTGAAAATTTTGACATTTTGCGAGAGTACAGAAGACCGACAAAATATCAATGTAACGTAATATCCTTCCTGGACGCTCCATAAAATTTATTCTGAAATTGTTAAATTTTAAAATACTTAAAACTAACCACCTCATAAGAATGATTCGGCAGCCATTAAATAAAGTCGAACAACAAACCAGATTTGCCCAAAAATGAACATAACTGGTGGCTAAATTTGAGTAAATGGTTATGCTCTTGAAACCAAAGCACAATCATCCCAATAGAAGATGTTAGACAAGTCAAGACCGAAAAAAGAACGACAAGTTCGGTCAAGTGAACATTTTGCTAGCTGTTTTTTTTTAATTACAACGGCGTGGTACATCATGCATTAATTAAAAAATAAAGCCCGGAATTGTGGACAATTTCCATACCAAAATAAGTAAAATAGGGAGCTTGTCTTCTATAGAAAAGCTCTAGATTTCTCCACCTCAATAAAGTATCTAAGAGTGATCCTGGATTCTAAGCTGTGGAAAAAAACACCTAGACTCCAAAGTAAAGAAGACCTCTGTACCCTTCTGGTTATGCAGAAGGGCTTTCGGAGCGAGATGATGTCTGCTGATGAACATCATTTATGAAATACTTCTATCCATTATGGTGCCTCCCAGTTAGACTGATTACGACTAAAAACCAGTTGGCTCACCTCCAGTGGTTTGTGTACGTTGGTGCTGATGGTTTACAGATGGATCCAGAATGGATGGGTGGGTAGGCACTGGTGGAGTGTACGGACTTGAGTTAAGTTAGGATCTCTGAGCTGGACTGGGCAGGACCATCTCTATCTAATCTACCAGTTAAGACTTAAGTCTAGTCGGACTCTCAGTTCCTATGCATCGGTCTTTTAGGCTCAGATCTTCAGAGGCACAGACCTTAGTTTGTGCCCATGAACGAGTTAATAAAAATTGCTTTGACAGGATCACCTCTATCTGCTTTAGCAGTCAGACAATTCAAAAGGTCTTGACCACCCAGAGTTTCGTTTCAGCAAGTTTTGGAGTTGGTCAAAATGCTCCGAGGCTATCATTAGACCAATAAAGTCAACGTCTTATTCACAGTGTCTTTGGGACCCGAACATGTCATTGGGCGCCCTTCAGTACTGACCGGGGAGGATTCTCCTTGGGTCCAGAACTCTTCAGCTAGTGGTGCAGGTATGGGAATGGCTAGGCTGTACCTAGCTCTGACTTCTAAGAGTCTCACAGGTCCACAACTCCTACATACTGTTTTTAGCGGTTGGCATGTTCACTAGCTACTGTAGATAACTACTTCTATTTACCTTTACAAGTAAATAAACACACGTTGATCGACCCTATATAGCACTGCAAAAGACCCGGTTATTTTGACAGACAGTTATAAATAAATATGAAGTATGAAAAAGAAAATGAATTAATTATTATTGTATTTGTTACGAGTTGACATGTAGTTTATTCGTGTCCGTAGAATTGTTAAAGTAATCTGGACCTAACCAGGTCGTTTATTATTACATAACTTTAATAAGTTAATGTAGTATTAATACTGCGTTTTATTATCAAATCAGTTGCAAAACCAAGGACTACAACACATGGTAGTATCTATAACAATGCAGACGTGTCGAAGAATGGGTCTTCGGCAGACCTAGTCCGGACGATACGGGGTGATACATGGGACTGCCCAAGAGGTGTAAGTAAGGGGATCATTAATCAGACCTACTCCGAGTCCATCATCATCAAAAACGAAATTTACAGGAAAGAAAAGGTCTAAGGAAATCCACAAGGAATCTAGGTTCCTGTAGTTGGCTATATACCATACAATAAAAAATTATTAAAATCCTTTGTAAAATATTTATATTTATTTATTTATATTTACTTATATATAATTAAATATATACCTTTTACAAAGGATTTTAATAATTGTCTAAGGAAATGTTCACAGAAGAAATGGGTAGTTCAAATAAGCAATAATTATAGAGTATTTCCTTTAATTTCCATTCTTCAAGAAGAAACATCTAACCAACATATTTAGAAGGGGACATGGTGTATTTGATAAATCTTTACATCATATACATATCAAGCGAAATTCATACTGTGAATGGACTACTAAACTACTAAAACTTATAACGATTAAATTAAGTAGAGACGCAGATAGTCTGTTGACTGTTGTCTGAGAAGAACTCAGTTTTCTTCAATAAATCTTACAAATAAAAAAAAATATTTTTTTACTTACGTCTGGTCCAATAACTTCTCTGAATGGTAAACTTGGATCATATTGACAGTAAAGTTCTAACACCAATCTTTCAGCAATTTTGCGTTCTTTCAAACTCAGTTCACCCTCCTTCTTTTCTGAAAGGATACTTTCTGGTATATCAGAAAAGTTCATACATAGGAGACATTGCCACGTGTCATTTTCTCTGAAAAACAAAAATTTACATTAATATGTATATAGCACAACGATAGATCTCATTAGTGATGACGACATGCTCTTGTGAAGTTGATAATACTGTTAGCACAACAGTTCATTTTAAAGTAACTTATGTACAGGGTGTCCCAAATTTTTATGTTTTACAGGGTACACCGAAAAGTGAAAAGTGAAGAAGAGAAAAAAAGTAGTTAAGATGTCATAACTTTTTTTTTTCGTTAAAGTAACGATTGTCCAATCAAATCATCAACAGCTCCCAACATTCGCGAGATACAGGGAGATTATTGAAAAATGTCGACAACAGGGTTATATATCTTCTTTATTAGGAAAAATTTTAAAAAACTTTATTGGAACTTTTGATAAATAGGTATATTATAGAAGGATTCAGAGAATTAAAAATGTAAACGAAACATGTCAAAATATATAGGATGTCCCATATAAACAAACATAAGTTGGTATAATATTTCTGTAGTGAAACCCCCTAAAAAAATTTTGTACGCCACTGAACCCTTCTATAATATATCTTTTAAACGTTCTAATAAAGTTTTTTTAAAGTTTCCTAATAAAGAAGATACATAACACTGTCGTTTTCGAAATTTTTCAATAATTGCACTGTATCTTGCTAATGTTGGGAGATATTGATGATTTGATTCAACAATCGTTACTTTAACGAAAAAAGAAGTCATGACAACTTAACTACTTTTTTTATCTCCTCTATTTTCGGTATACCCTGCAGAACATATAAATTTGGGACACCTTGTACTGGGTGATCCAATAAGCCGATCTCTCGGCTATCAGAAACTATTCATGTTATAACTTTAGGAGAAAAAATTCCTTAGTAAAAGTGGCCAAGAGAAATCGTTGGAAATAACTTTCAAAATTCTGGATTAACCTCTAGGGGGCGTAACCTGTGAAGAAAACTTTGAAACCCAGTTTTTTGTGAAATATGCCCAATTATACCATATGTTAAATAAGTAAACTAGAAAGAGGCCTAAATTCCGCACAAAGTTGTTCAAGTGCTTTTTTTTATTTTTTCAAATAAAGGGTGGGGGAGAGTGGGAAAGTATTCTTCACAGGTTACGCCTCCTAGCGGTTAAGCCAGAAACTTGAAATTTTTTCTCCTAAAGTTATAACATGAATAGTTTTTGATATATAACAGAGAGAACGGCATATTGGACCACCCGGTACATAGAAACTTCATAATTTCGAATTTGATTGTTAGTTTGTAGAAATTATAAGTCAAATGAAAATAAATCTTAGAAATTGTAACATGGTTCTTCCTAGAGACTTTTCATTGTCCTATCCAAAATTTGTGTCTGTGATTATTTCTCAGAGCAAATCAACAGATTGCAACATCCACATATATTCAAAATGTTTATTTATGTACAGATATCTTATTGGTTGGTGTTCAGAACATGCCCAACCCCTAACCAATCAAACACTCCAATCAAAAACTGTTTGCTAATGCGAAAGACCTTTTCATAACATCCAACCATGTAATCTTGAATATCGTACATGTTCCAACATTTTATATTCTAGCGAAATTTGTTATAATTATAGCAATAAAATATAATAAAGTACTTACTCAACGCTTAGATTTGGAATATGGCAGTATTGATGAAATACTTTAGGACATTTGTCACAGCACACTAACTCTCCACCATCCATGCACACGGCGCACCAGTCTTCGTTTGGATCGTCTTTACTCGTTTCAGATAATTCAGATTTAATTTTGGGTCCTACACTCCCCACACTCCCTACTCCTGAGTCCCCCGTCGAACTGTCCACATGCGGAGACCCACCCTAAAAGGATATGGTTTAAAATTTTTGAAGCAATAGTTATAGCATGATTAGAAATGTAAAGTGTTAATATTTATTATAAGCAGTGACAGGTATTACAGATCAGCAGTGGTCTTAACCTCATATTGCTAACTGGTGGTCGGACCTAGCTCAGCGACTGAGAAACTGGTATTCTCAGATCGCACGAGTTCGATTCTCGGCACCAACAAACGACATTTTAATTTCGAAAAACGATATGAGCCGTTGACCGTGCTTCGTTAGGCACGTAAAATTGTCGGACCCTCTGGGCTAGTGTGCATCAAGACTAGCTACCTAAAACATGGCTACCTAAAACAAGATTCAATTCGCGTCGAAATCTGCCCGAAAAGATCTCCCTGGCAAAGATGCCATATATTATTATTATTATTATATCTCTAAATACTAATCTTTATCGAGTAGCCGTGCTATTTATATTCTTTGTGTGCCTTTTAGGATCTGAATTGTCCTGAATCGGTTCTGGAATGTTCTAGATGCAAATCTTCTAATTTACGATTAAAATTAAAGGTTAGGTTAGGTCTGTTAACTTGACATTTATCTTTATACACAAAAACATTTCGTATGACTATAAACATTTATAATTATTGTAAGATTGTTAATACCTTTTGCCTGCCTTCTGCAAGAACTTGAACACCATTAGAATCTAATTTAGCAATCGTAGCCATTAAGTCTTTTACTGAGTCTTCACAAAATTTATCGAGATTCCTCTCCGTATCCGACTTTCCCTGGACGTGGTTAGGACTCGGTGTTTTTGGAATTGTGGAAGTAACTGCACCTTGAAGATTTTTGTTCGGATCGTTTGGGGTCTGTTGTCCTAATCGTATTTTGAAGTTGTCATTTATAGTCGGTAAAATCATGTTCCGGCTGGAACTACCATTATTTGACCCTGAAACAGATTAGAAATGCTCAAATTACAAGTATGAACAGATGGAATACTTTTTAAATCTTACCAACTTATAATTTTATATTCACATGGTTTTTCATCTTCTATTTTAATTTAGGGGTGCTCACCCCTAACTGTAAGAAAAAAAGAGTTTGATCTTCCTATAATCCCCTCAATAACGGTATATCGCGTTATAGTACTTTATGATCATTTTATTATTTTGGTCATTGAAATAGCTTTTTTTTGTTTAAATTTGTCAATCGAATTTAAAATAATAATAGTCTTTAAAATAATTACGCAGAATAACAAATCATCATAAGTATATTAATGGAGCAATAAGAGAATGAGACAGATGGTAGATGCAACCCACGTTATTTCTTATGAGACAACGTCAAAAAACACTAAGGGCCATTATGCTTTACGCATTCAAAATTACGCGTCGTCAGCTTGAGAATGGTTCGCCGTATTGGTGAACGTAGCTCTTCTGCTTTGTACTCTTCCTTGAAGTATGTAACCCAGATATTCTAACTTGTCTTTCACATTTCAAACAATTTCATTCTTTACACAGTTTTCTCATTATTTCATTGTTTATATTGGGATTCACTTGGGAAATTTTCAACTTTCTTGATTGATATTCAAATAAACATAGCTCTTAATGATCTGCATATCTTTTAGTTATTCATATGCATTCCATTAATCCATGTCTTTCCTTAATGGTTTAAATATTTCTTCTGAGTCGATATTTAAGAGTAGGGCTAATAAGACAAATTCTACCGGCTTTATTACAGTCTTCACTCATTTGGTTGTATATCCTGATTTTTACTGTTAACCATAATACAGATTGCTGATTATTCCTAAGATCTGTCATCGATGCCAGTGCTAAGTCACCACAAATACTGCCAGTCTTCCAGATACTCCCACTTCTTTTGAATGCCATTCTAGAGAATTTCGGATAGTTGGTTTAGTCGTAGCGTAGCGTAACCAAATAAAGAGATATAAAAGGAACACTAGAGGTATGGAGGGGATATTATGAAGAGAAATATATGGGCTAAAACTGAAGAAACGGCGAGACAAAAGGGAAAATTTTGTCAAGAACAACAAAGTGCAAACTTTATAAAACAATAATACGCCCAGTGCTCACCTACGGATCGGAAACATGGGCAATGACGACCCGAGATGACGAGTTACTACGAATTTTTTACAGTTCAGTTAAGTATTGAGGAACATATATGGCGGAGTATTGTCACAAACAGGGTCTGTGGAGAAAGCGATATAATTTTGAACTCTATATACTTTTTGCTGATGCAGACATAGTGAAAACCATCAAAATAAACCGCCTAAGAAGGGTGGGCCAACTTATGCTGATGGATGAAAGTGATCCTTCTAGGGAATGGAGAAGACAGACGCAAGGAAGGATGGAAGAATGTTTTGAAACATGCCAAGGATCTCGAGTGACTGTAGCGCGAACTGACGATGATGATAAATATTTATATTGATACAGCTATGAAACTACTTCATGTGATTGATTTATTAATCGGCGTAATTCTTTTAAAGAGTTTAGAATGGTTTAATGAATATAATGACGCGAAATAAAAATACTGAAACTATCTACAATACATTATTCTTGCTTATTAAAAATGTGTCGTCATAATGACAAATTACTCATCTACTATAAAATTAAAGTAACTGAATCTTTTACCGTTATTATTCGGGGTGGTTTTCTTGTGTAATACATATTTATATAGTAATTTTCATATTTCGAATTATAGAGCAAATTACAATCAACATTTTGGTCACATTATAAAGGAGCTAGTATGGCAGTTGCACAGAGGTTGATGAAATAAAACATCAAGTACGAATCCGCTGTTTATTTGTTTATCCCAATTAACAATTGGATTTTGTTCTACCTTAATCACATTATTAACGATATAATAATGTTGTCAAAAGCGGTATTATAAAAACTGTCCTTATTTTTTTATCAAATCACTCCTAACAATTCTATGTTTTATTCTAAATCAGTAATACACTCTGACTGACCTGATATACTTTGTTGAGGAGTATGCCATTTAGCTCCTCCACTACTTGTATACTGAGGCACTCGCTGTTGTTGCTGCTGTTGGTGTTGTTGTTGCTGCTGCTGTTGTTGTTGCTGCTGTTGTTGTTGCTGCTGTTGTTGTTGCTGTTGTTGTTGTTGCTGCTGCTGCTGCTGTTGTTGCTGCTGCTGCTGTTGTTGTTGCTGCTGAAGTTGTTGGTGTTGCTGCTGTTGAACTTGTATGCGATTTTGTTGAGATGGCACCAACATCCTTACTTGGTTGTTTTGTTGAGAAAACCTGCTTTACAAAATAACATTTATTTATAAGAAAATGTTTTAAATAACGAAAATTAGTGATAGTGAAGAAAAAAGTGATAATAATTATTTCAAAAGTGTCTTATATACCTTATATATTTTAACGGAACAGCAGCTGTTTTTAAAGTACAAGACATAAATGAAACAATACAAAAACAAAACAAAAAGGTAAAGTTTGAGTTTACCTGATTTGTGGCTGGCCTGGAAATCTGTTTTGAAACTGCTGCGCCAAATGAGGTTGAATAGCTTGGTATTGGCCAGGTCCAGTTTGAATATAAACATGGTTAAATCCGTTATTTGTATTGTTTGAATTGTTAGGTTGTAACAGATGGCGCAGATTGCTGCGATCGGCCATTATTCCTTGTGGGTGAGTGGAAGATGACACCTTTAATCATTCAAAGTTATTACAATTACATAATATATATTTATAAATTTTTTTATATGTAGTGATACTAACCTGTTGCTGCTGTTGATTGATTCCCATAGGTAGCCTAGGCATTAGGGCTCTCTGCAGTGCCTGAGGCCTCTGCATCCTGTTCATATTTAATTGATTGATATTGTTAGCTATCGGCTGAGCCATATTATTTATTCCTGGAGGACCCATAGACTGCAGACGATTTTGGGCTAGAATATAAATGTGTATTAAATCAATGCAAATCCTTGAATTCTTTTAATTAATGTAAAATATGCAATGAAATAAATTATACTGAGAAATCGGTTGCAGATTATTTTCCCTTCATAATTCCATGCCAAATCTTTCCAGGCCGAGGCCACTGCATTCTACCGAGTATGAGTACATGCCCCAATGTGTAAACACTTGTGCACCGATGGGGTCATAAACGTGCATGATCGTTTATGACCCCATTGTGGATTGGAGAGTTGTATTGGAGTGTTCGACCTTCCAACAGACCACTGGGACATATCAAATTTGCGGGACATGTATGCAAACTAGAAAGTGAAATGAATGAGTGGAATCTTTAAATTTTTAAAACTTATGTACAGATAAAGATTCGCTCTGGACAACTTGGAAATATTGCAAACGTTGAAAATATGGTTAAAAGATTATCAAGGTTATTATATAAAGATTACGGATACTCATCGCGGGTTTACAGGTATAATCACGAAACAAAACAATGACAGGTTCAAATCGAGTGTCTATGTTTCAAGGCATAAACGAGGCAATAAACCTACCAAATGTTTACAGTTAGATGGATCTCAATAAAACTTATTGCAATCGATTCGTAAAAGTGTCAGAAAATTTTGTAAACAAAAATGATAACGTGGAAATAAAAATTGCATTATTGAACAAGAAAATGCATTTTCCAAAGTGAACTTCGAAGTGATGAAAAATGATTGTGTACTTCGAAAATAATTGTCATAAATTAGTTCAATTACTACTCGGGGTTTTGAGGTCACTGTTGGGTTTACTGCTTCATTGCCTCGTCTAAATAAATGTTTTTTTTTTCAATTATGAATATGTTGTGCACCATTATTACGCTCCAAAATGAACAAAGAATTTCATGTAAAACTTTAGCGAGCAAAAAACGGTCCCTTTTTGTCCTGGTAATGACTGGTTTGCTGCTTAATTGCAAAATCAATTAACATACATAAATAAAATATGAATAATTTACCTTAGAGTTATTGTATGAAAATTCTCATTATACTAGATATTTACATTTAAACAACATTACCTAAACCCCATAGTACAAAGAATTAATACTCACAATACTCACCCATGCCTTGGTTCATTCCTTGAATGTTTGGTCCCATGCCTTGTGCTATATTCTGGCTCATGTTCTGGTTGAGGTTCTGGTTAAGGTTCTGGTTGAGGTTCTGGCCCATGGTCTGTGTATTCATCTGCTGTGGATAAGGTGAAGTGCTCTGATACTGTGAGTATGGAGGAGGTCCGGGCATTCTCGTATTATTTTGAAATCCTGATGGCGAGGGCAATTGGTGTAAAGGGCTTATAGGGGACGGTTGTTGCGGCGGTCGAACTTGACCTGGACTTGTGGAGCTCTGTGGGGGTATCGTCGCCGCAGCTGGAGATGACGACTGAGATGGATAGACGCGTCCGTCCACGACGATTTGACCAATCGTTGACATAACTAGAGAATAGATGAGTTTACTGTTTGTAGTATGTTCGTGAATAATTTTTTGTTATTTAAGGAAATTCATTTTATTTTATAATTTTGCAAAACAAATGTTCCGTTTGAGTAGTCTTTATAATGGTAACGATAATTAGGTGTCAAGGTTAATAAAGTTAAATTAAGCTATTGGTTTGCTCCAATAAATTAACTGTTGATTATGGTGACATATGTCAAGATTAAAAAATAATTTATTGTACTGCGAAAAATGCTCTCCAAGTTGTGATACTACTTGGAATAAGGATATAAATATGGCGCGCACAGGAAAATCTTTATTGGGTTCTAAATACTTTGTATATACAATTAAGTGCAAAACAATCGACTCAAAAGCGATATTTGAAAGATATTACACCTTCTGTTTCAAAGTAAAAAGTATGAAAATAAAAAGATGTAATATGCAAACAATAATTTTATTATTGAACTTACAAAACTGCTATTTCCTAAATATTCATCATTGGAACTAACGCAAGAAAGACGTTATAAACCGAGAAATCATGAATAACAAAATATTTTTTTTATTTTTCAGTATTTAATATTACCACCCCTACTCCTAATTACACTTTCCAATTGATTTCTTGAGGCATTGCTTCCCGTTCATCATTAAGCGCAGCTTTCAATTCCATTATGCTCCTTGGTGCATGATTTTTGTCCCGTGCCCTTCGTTTAAACATGCTCTATTGGATTTATGTTCGGGCTCAACTCAGGCCAATTTATTGTAGGTATACCGATCTCAGTCAGATAGGTGGTGGTGACTCGTGCAGTATGGTATCGAGCATTATCGTACATTAATGGACCCATATATGTTCCTCCAAAATGTTTCTGATGTAACGAGCCGCCGTTAATCCTTCTATACGTCCTCCACCAGGCACGAAAACCAACTAGGTTTTCCCATCCATGGAAATGCCTGGCCAAAACATATAAGAACCGCCTCTATATGGCACAATGTCTCGTAGACAACATTGAGCAAATCGCTCTCCTGGCCTTCTATAGACTCGATGCATCTTGTCGTTGCCATTTAGGAAGGTCCTACTTTCGTCGGAGAATAATATCTGACTCCATTGATAGGCGTCCCAATCCAGATGTTCGCGAGCAAATTCTAATCGCATTCGCTTCTGGGCTGCAGTTACTTTAGGACCCGTAGCTGCCTTCAGTCTCCTTTTGACTGCCCAAACGCTGGTAATCATACCTCGGACCTCTCTAAGCTTTTCTTTATTAGAGATTAGCACCAGTCAGATGTCGATTTCTCAGGGATTTTGATACAAGAAATTGATCTTTTCTTTCCATTGTTATTCGCTTACGGCATCCTCCTTGTCGGTGTATATAATCACTAGCATTTTAGTACCAACGATACACTCGGGACACAGCAGATTGGCTTAAATTTAGTCGATTTGCCATGGCCCTCTGGTTCAGGCATTCTCTCAATAATGCTATAATGATTGTAGACTAAATATTTTTAAATGTATACTATTTAGATTGAAACAGGAGACATACTTTCACAAAATAATTTTGAGTCGATTATTTTGTACTCAAATGCAGTTTTCTATATTGTAAATGGTGGTTTTTCTACAATTGTACATTACTTTATGAGCCCTCACAACTATATACTAGGACAAAGAAAGAATTTTTAAATGAATTATTGATACTAAAGGTAAAAGGCAAATAGATTAGGATTGACAAAATTGATAATAAAGTCTGTAATATTATCAATAGACCTGAAGTTAAAGTTCCCTGAACTAAAACCAAATATCAATGCAAAATAAATTATGTCAAGTGAATATAGTAGCTTTACAACCAACATAGCCAAGCCCTTAAAAAAAGAGAGGGATAGTGGAGTAACATCTCTATATAAAAAACCACGGTTTCGTTGACCTAGCTGATAACACAGTATGAGGATCCTGGACTATGTCACATGCGGAGCAAAAGCCAATGATCCCAAGAGCAGATGAGGAGAAAGAAACCCCAATAAACTAAAGAACAAATAAGCAACTTGCTAACTTTGAACTCCGTAGCCCGAAAGACAGTTAGTCTAGAAGAAGAAAACGACGAAAAATAATCCAGTCCGCCTTGAAAGGGGTTGAGGCATGGAGCTAGAACTTCCATACACGGAAAAAATCAAAAATACTTAAAATCCTTGGATTATGCTACGGAAATCGGACAGACATAAACAAAGACGAAATATGCGACCAAATAGTAATATGGCCTTTAAGTGCAATATGTATGCACTTAAATTAGATGAAGGTAGATACAACGTTGATCACAGAAACAAAGAATTTAATACTGTACAGATTATTTACATATTTATAGTGAAGTATTCCGAAAAAGGGCATGCAATTGAGTATCAATATTCATACATAACAAAATATCAAAAATAACTCAATATGTTCGATAGTTAGATAACATGGCGAAGAAGTTCTAAATAATATCAGTTAAAGATTAATAGATATATGCAAACAGCACCAGCTGGAGATTCTAAATGGGTTTTACAGCACAAATATAATATCGAAGACTTCATTATAAAACAATAAACGACACTAAGTTGTTCAGGATGGTTCTGAATTTATTTCTTGTGGTATTTTGAAAACGATTTAATTGCAGTTTAATCCTATCCAAAAATATTAGTTGTTCAAGATATTTATCTCCTTCAATACAAATATTAAAAACAAAAAAGTTACACTAGTATAAAAAAAGAACCAATCAAATACATACTGCAGTAGTAGAATAGCAACAAGAGAACTGCCTATTTGGTGTAGGTGTCTCAGCTTATTTCTTATGTAAAAAACGTCAAAAATGTCTAAGCTTAATCGTAAAGGGCCTACAAGATTGAAGCATAAAAACACTAAAAAATCGCCTAAACCAAAAACTATAACAATTTTATGATTTTATGACCAATAACCTTTACAAATTACATAACACAGTTCTTTCAGTCCGGAGCCGAGAAGCTCTTATTAAGATAGACCAAGCACCTTATAACAAAAAAATAATATAACATGGAACTGAAAACTTGAAAATTAGTGCTAAATAAAATTAAAATCGTAGAAGTCCATATATCACGCTCAGGGAGAATATATTAAAGTAACAACGAAATCCCAAAAAGCTGGAAACAAGCATGGGTTATGCCCATTCACACCAAGAGACAGTTGCGGAAATTACAGATGTATCTTAGTGACTAGTACCTTTAATCGACTAGATACAAAAATCTTAAAAACGATAGAATAATACCAACGATATGAAAAATAACAACAAGGAATATTACGAACTGGAAGATCAGGTCTATGGCCTACATATGGATTGAAGGTTATTTAAAAATATGAAGAATGGCGTTTATCCGTAAACCAAACAAAAACTGAACACATATTTAGACACAACAATAGACTATAGTGTCCACACTGAAATCTCTTAACTCAGTCTTGAATGTAGACAGCTTATTTGATATGGCTATGCCCAAAGAAAGAATGAAAGATAACTTCGTATACAAATACTAAAATGGATACCAGTCAAAAGAAGGAAAAGAGAAATACCAAAACTGACATGGTTGCCTTCAAAGACCAATCTCGATGAGCAATCTTTAAGCCAGATACTGGAACGTCAAATGAGAAGGAAAAGAAAACCGGACAAATATATTTGTCCCAATATTTTGTTGCCACCTGTTTCGATTTTATTTCATCACTAAGAATAAAAAACTTTGTTTCGAATCAACTCAAATTTCTTGTCTATTAAACAATGAAGCAGTAGTGCCTTTTAAACAAAAAACAGTTTAAATAAGATGGCGGATACTTTTCTAAAAACTTGGTTTGCAAAATATATAGTTATAAGGGCTCGTTTATAACTATATATATATATATATATATATATATATATATATATATGTAATATTGGTGTGTTAATTTCTTGGAGCAGTGAATGTGCATGCTGATAATTATAAAATTGATATGATCTATAAAAGAACGAAAAAAATAAAAATAATGTTGCAAAAATTAAATTAAACTAACAAAAAAAAAACATACTACAACATATCAATGATGACTCAGGGATTTTATTCCATACAATATAATTCAGAGAGTTGGGTCACTTTAAATCGTATAGTTTTAAATCAGCTTATCAAGAAAATATGAAAATGGCAGAAAACTGTTCAGTATCTAATCAATCATGATCTCACTGGCATTACACGCCAAATATATAACTAAAACAAAAACCTTCCATTACTATCCATTCTATTCACATTCACGGTTTTCATTACATGTTCAAAATACGTGATTTTCCACATCTTAGTTTATTTATATAATTCTTTTGGCAGTTTTATCGACCTAGAGATAAGAAAATAAACAAATATAAAGGGTGTTTGGTAACAAATGGACCATAGCTTAACCTTAGATTCCTGAGGTTGACAGGCATGGGATAACAACGGGAAATTGGGCAAGTGAGGATTTTTGGAACGACAAACCTAAATTTCTCGGCAAAAATTTTATGTATTTCCCAGAGGGATACACGTCTTTCAGCGTTCATTTAATAAGTTTTTTTTCTCCCAATCTTCATACTTTTTGAATCAAAACTTTTATTCTTTTAATATTTTTACTTAAAAAAGTATATCATTGTAGTTACATATATATTACATATTGTAGTTACATATATATATATATAATATATATATATATATATATATATATATATATATATATATATATATATATATATATATATATATATATATATAACGTTGTATATCATTGTAGTTACACCCGAAAAATAAACTTGAAACCATAATAATTGTGCAAATTGTCTTGTTTATGTCATTGCGATACATTTTTCCCATATTAGGAATAGTTGTAAATGAAATACAAAGACTAACCTAAAATGATATTTGAAACAGAATATTAAGCTAACAACGAATGAATAATAAAAATATGACTTTAAATATTAAATAAGTGCTGAAAGACGTATGTGGCGCCCTCTGGATAATAAATATAATTTTTGAATTTGGATTTTTCGTCCCAAAAAAGTTAACAAATTTCGTGTTGTTATCTCATGCCTGGCAGGAAATATTCAGAAATAAATAAAAGTTTCTGTATTTCGGTTATTATCAACTTTCCTACTAACGTAAGTTATCTAAAATCGACTTATTTCAACCTCAGGAATCTAAGGTAATCAAAACTGCTTTAATATACAGGGTGTTCCATTAAAAAAACGTACTTTCGTTCTTTCCGTTGTTCTGATTGACCCAGTATTAATCGAAAATAATTTTAAATCGCAGACGTCTTTGATATACATCAGTTTTGTTTGAAACTCTTTTTGTATACTACATAGTTAAGCTGCAACTAAAGAAAGCCAGAATTTTGGCGCACCCTGTACATATATTAGGAAATTTAAACATCAACAAATTGTACAGACTACAAAGCAAAACAGGAGCATGAAGTTAATCAAACGGGACACGGTGACAAGAGACAAAATACTAGGAATAGTCCAAGGGCTCTACACTAGATTATACACACAAAAAATCAACAATAACATAAATCAAAATGACAGACAAAAGGTATAAAGCCAGAGACCTAAGGATACTGCAGAAATTACTTAAGATCAGATACAATATAAACTGAAAAAAAAAAGAATGAAAAACAACAGCAGACTGCCCTAGTATCGGCAACCTCGATGACCAAGAATCAAGCAAGAATCATTGGATGTAGCGCTGTAGAAATACTGGGCTGAAACATTTGAAATACTAGGGGCATACTGTTTCAAAGGCCTAAGACCAACACAGAAGACACATAACTTTATTAAATTATAGTAGACATTTAAATTTAACTTAAGAAAATAATGACTTCAATGCTGTTTTAGTTGTTAATTTTTTTTGTCCTTTAAATAAATTTTAAACAATTAAAAGCGTCAAATTACTTCTAATAATCTTGTATACTTGTCTCCTCAAGATACACAAAAAAAACACTACCCTGTGGCATCATTTCAAAACAATGGATAATACTATAGTAATAATCTCCTACATATTCATAGTAAGGAATGGTGCAAAAAAGTAAACATATATTGATAGGGTTAGAAGACTACATTGTATATACTTAATGCAATTATGAAATAGTATTGATTTACCTGAAGAAAGCCCTTAGGTAAGCACAAAACCAAAAACATTATTGAGACAGATTATGTCCCTTTATCTACTTTTCAAAATGTTAGAAACTTTTTATGGGTCTAAAAGTTTCTAACATTATACATAATGGAAAAATTTGTATTAAAATTTTATTAATAATTTATTTTTCCCCATAATGGAACAAACCAAATATGAATTCGGCAACTATTTTCTATCAGAAAGAGCCTAGTTTAATCAAAAATCATGATTGAAATTGTTCGGGTACAGTAAATTGTTGCCAATGAACTCTATATTCATGTTTGAGCCAGAAACTTTTATTGATAATCGACATGGAAAAGCTGCTTGCAGCAATTGTCTTTTTACTATAGGGATTGATAAGCACTGTGCATATCTAAAATTCCTTTTATTTTTTTAAATTGATGTCATTAATCCATTATGTTAATGACTTTTTTTAATAGATTTTTAATGGCATGTAACAATTGATAAAACTATTCAATTCTACACTTTTAGCTCTATCTTGTACAGAATTTTCTACTGGAAAGATTAAATATTATTGAGTAGATTCGTTCAACTACAAAAGTTTCTTGTCTTCTCGTAATTGAAGTCACTATCTTGCTCTATCACTACCAGCTATTAGTTGGCAATTCATGTTTAACGGATTATAGTATAGTTTAAAAATTGTAGGCACTAAATTCTGAGAAATTTTAATTGAGTTTTAACAACACTGTTGCCAGGTTGTGATTATAGATAATTTATTAACTTCTATATTAATAATTCACATACAGTCAAATAGTCGTAGGAACATGGACTTGTTAAAGTATCTAATAAAACGGGACAACGCTGACCAGTAGATGATCAAAAACGAAAGTAAGAGAGATATATATCATTCAGTCTTGGCGATCTCTTTATTTCCAGTACCGTATCGTTTACGCTGTTGAAGTGGAATTTACAAATTTATATACCTACTAATAAAAAGTTGTTTTCCAGTTCTCCGATTCCTTGTTCTCATTCAACAAAGTCGTTATCAATAAACCAGTTGATAAACAATATAATGGAAATTCCCAAACAATTAAAAAAAAGTGAAATTGCGTTTGGAATTTTACAGGAGCAGGTTCAAAGTTTTAGTGTTGATAAAATCATTGAGTTATTGAATGACATTAAAGCTTTTAATTCTGTAAACTTTCTTTTTTGTTTTAATATTTCTTTTGACAATTATTTCTTTAAAATAATGGACTACCTAAGCTCTGACGTCATGGGCAGGGTTTTTCAATATCTTTCCAAACATTTCTAATTTGTGTGTAATTGTCCCATAAGAAGTTCGAAATATTGGTTTTTTTAATTGTTTAAAGAATAAATAAGGACTTTTGGGCATACTGTATGTATATTTTCGTTTTTTGTTAGTCCATATAATCCGATGTCTAAATTATTAAGTTGCCATATGGCTGATTCCACATATGCGTTTAGAAATTTCTTAGAGCTTGGGAGAGAATAATAGTACATATTCTTCAATGAAATTTTGCGATACCTCTATACGTATCAATAAAACACTGAAAACTTTGTTTCAAACTTCCACAAAATTTATTTTAAATATTATCACTACAGCTGTTTCGGCTGATTGCCTTTCTCAAGTGATCTATTTTGGCTTGGGTATACAAATTTATAGTCTCTAATGAAATAGGTTGAGGAGGGGAGAACTGTTTGTCTCAAGTTGGTCATTCAGAATTATATCTGTGTTTTTTAAATTGTTGATTTCCATAGATTCTAACAAAGATAGCTTAAGGCTTTTATTTTGAATGTGAAGAATTTTAAATTTATCATTAAAAGAATGATTATGATCTAGAAGGTGAAGTGCGTATGTCGAATCTGTTTTTCTATTCTTGAAAGCCCTTTTATGTTCTGCTATTCGTTTATCAAAGTTTCTACCAGTTTGACCGATGTAAGTTTTTGGGCAGTCGCCACATTGAAGTTTGTACACACCACTATTTAAGGGTTTTTTATTTTGGCTCTTGTTATTTTTAATATATTTGCCTAGGTTGTTATTTGTTCGGAAAGCTGGTGTTATTCATTTCTTTTTTATGTGTTTGGCAACAACAAAAATTGCTATACTATAAGTGCCAAAACTTCCTCAGCACTCAAATATCATAGTTTTAACGTACTAACTCATAAGTTAAGTTACAAAACTGTTATCCTTTTTTGATGGCATATACAATACACAGATAACGTCAAATATCGTCGTCTGTATAGACTGAGAAATAAAAAGATGGAGGCTTCCGCGGCGAAAGTGTTAAAAACAGTCAATAAAACCATCAGCTATAACTGTGTTTTACAAAAATAATTTAAGATATTAAAAGTGGATGATGCAAAACTGTTAAATATTTGTATAATTAAGATACACTTAATTGTTTCTTTAACTAACTAACAATAACTTTATTGAAAAGTATCGTTATACCCTATTTGTTGTACCATTTATTGGTGCCAATCCAGTCTCTTTCTCGGAATCTGTTTTTTGTACTGCAGCCAATTGGCTTAGTGTACATCTTCCATTCATATAACCTGGCTCAGGCTTTAAGGTTAACGACTATTACGTAGCCGAGACCAACGGCTTGAAAATTGAAAAATTTCTGGTGTCTGTACCAGGGATCGAACCCGAACCGTCTAGTTTGGTAAGCCAGTACCTAGCCACTGACCTATCGCTGTTCCACTAGTCTAGTCTACTCCTGAATTAATACTAAGTAAAAACATTATTTAATTAAATAATAATTTTTTAAATAAATATTAATTAAAAAAACCTAATTGTCACTTTTTTTCAAATTTGGACATAAACAAAATTGATCATACCTTTTATCAAATCCGGAACTTTATCTAAAGCCAAATGTATCCTAACTGGAATTTCCGGATTAGGTATATCCGCTCTTTTACATTTTATCCTCTTTAAGTGGTCCGTCATTTGCTTCTTACTGTACAAAAGAGCCATATCGCTACCACTGGATAAGGCGTGTTGAGTGAATTCTATGCAATGGTCCGTCATTTTTGATAACTGCTCTAAGGCGACTTTCTTCTCCTGAAGAGTTTTTTGTTTCGATTCGCAGACTTCTGATAGCTTCGCTATTAGTTGTTTGCCCCTGACGTTAATTGTGTTGGTTAATCTATAAAAAATATAAATTATACATTTGGAAGATTATTAATGGAGATTTTATTTTACATTATACTAAAAAATATTGCAATAAATGTATTTAAAATTTAAGGGACAGGAAGCAAAAATAGGTAATTAGATAGAGACGGAATAATGGGAGTTAGAGAGAGAAATAAAATGCAGGAAAAAGGAGAGAAAAAATGAAACTGTTTATAAGAACAAAATAAAATAAAAATTTACTTACTTGACAACAAGTTGTGTAATTTCATTAACTAATGCTCCTTTTTTGTCAGTAATTAAATTTTGACGATCGTCAATAACCTTCATTGCACTTGTTAGTAAGGCTCTTTTATATCTAAAAAAAATAACATACATTATTTATTATTTAGTTAGTTTTTTTAGGTCAAGAAGTTTCCCAGCTATAACCGTCCTCTGATTCATACGATAAATTACGATACGATATAATTATATGCCTAGATTGCCGAACTGAATACATAGCGGGGCTAAATGAAGAATCTAAACCCCTACTTAAAAGATACGAGCAGCTATATGAAGACGATCCCTTTTCGAAAGCAACAATACAGGCCGGGAGGAAGTGCTACATGCGATATCCGCCAACAGAACGGACAGATGGTGCAAGCTGGTCACTATTCTAGACATGAAACAAAACAGCAGACGCGCTTGGAAATTAATTCGGAATCTTGGCAACAATCCCGCCGTCCCGGCATCGAATCTGACAAAAGTTACACCCGATCAGATAGCCTATCGTCTCCTGACAAATGGTAAGACGACATCAAGGAAGAACAAAGGGAAAGTACAACGAAATATTCACGAAGAAGAGGAAGTTCTAGGTACCTCCTTTTGTCCGGAGGAGATGAGAGGTGCGATCCACCAAATGAAAGATAATAAAGCGGCTGGCCTAGATGATATACGAACAGAACAAATAAAGCACTTTGGACCAAAAACCCTAGAGTGGCTCGTAAAAATGATGAACTGTTGCGTCTGTACATTCCAAATCCCCAAAATCTGGACGAAAACTAAAACTAAAACCCTCTTAAAACAAGGAAAGAATCCGGCGGATACAAAGAAGACCTGTCTCTTTTGTGTCACCTTTTCAAGGCGTTCGAAAGAATGATACTGAACCGGATTGTTGAATCTGTGGAGACTAAAATGATTCCCAAGCAAGCAAGGTTTAGACCCCGAAAATGCTGCTGCAGTCAAACTCTTAATCTCACCCAACATATTGAGGATGGGTTTGAACGGAAAGAAATAACAGGAGTAGCGTTCATATCCCTTACTGCCGCCTATGACACAGTTAACCATCAACGGCTGCTGGTAAAACTCTACAAAATTACAAAGGATTTCCGACTAACAAGGTTAATGAAATGTCTTCTCCAGAATAGACAGTTCTACGTAACGCTCCAGTCCAAGAACAATCTGTGGAGGGATAAAAAAATGGACTACTACAGGAAAGTGTCCTCGCGCCATTGCTATACAACATTTACACCAACGACCAACCCAAAAACCAACAAACAAGACAGTTTATTTACGAGGATGATACGTGGCAACCCAGGGAAGTACCTTCGGTGAAGTCGAAGTAAAACTGACAGATGCCTAGAAGACTTAGCACTATATTATGCCGAAAACTATCTGTAACCCAATTCTACAAAAAGCCAGGTGTGTGCTTTCCACCTTAGAAATAATCATGCCCGAAGGACACTGGAGGTGGAATGGCGTGGTCTGAAGCTGGAACACAATGAGACGCCAAAATACCTCGGTGTAAGTCTGAATAGAACTCTGTCTTATCGATTACACTGTCAAGATATCAAGAAAAAAGTAAGCGCCAGAAATAATATCATCATCAAACTAACAAACAAAAAATGGGGAGCACAACCACACACTCTGCCTTAGCATTATATTTTTCTGCCGCCGAGTTTGGAGCACCAGTGTGGGAAAACTCTGTTCACGCTAAAAACGTCGATGTTGCGTTAAATGCAACGATTCGTATTATCTGGCTGCCTGAAACCGACACCTATCGCAGAGATCTACCCTACAGTTTAAAACGCTCCACCTGCTATCAGAAGATAGGTCACGTCAGAGATAGAATGAAAGAAGTAAGAGACGGATCAAAGACACCCCTTGTATGACCACCAAGTTCAGTCAAGTAGATTAAGATCTCGGAAAAGCTTTCTGAAAAAATCACGATCTCTTCTAGAAGAGCCAAAGACGCGCCGAATACACCTACGACAAGCGTCAGCTACAACACATTTTGCTCCCTCAGAGGAAGTGGCCGCTGGACACAATTTGCCATATCTCACATGAAAAGCACTAAACAGACTAAGAACTGTCTACTATCATTCACAGAGATGAGAGAGAATTGCACAGAAGAAGATCTATTCTTAGCGAATGACAGGGCCATCTGTGTGGCCAACCATTAGAAACACAAAATTTAAAGCTGTTGGTGTTTCAGGCACGGAAAGTAAGTAAGATTTTACTTAGTTAGTTAGCGTGTCTCGGACTGCCTTTTCCAAGGCAATGTCAAATAGGAGACAAGCCAGAGTATCCCCTTGTCTGAGTCCATCCTTTATTACAAAGGATCGAAAATTTTCTCCCTGTATCCCAACGCTGGCTTTTGATGAGGTATCAAAGGTAAAGTAAAATAGAGTTAGCGCGCAACTACACTGGTTTAACAAGTGATAATATGTCTTTATTATTATATATCTTACGAAGCATGCTTTAAAAACTCATACAATTGACAGTTCAAACCAGTAGCGTTGCGTGCTAGCTGTCTTTTATTTTATCTTTAATACTTTGCGTTTTTAACAGCTGGCATCCTAATTTTCGACCATTTTTTTATCAGGAAACCTTACATTAAGAAAAAAAAATAGCTTTAATTTAATATAACAAACATGCATATACGTCATGAGCGGCGTATTTGATTTAAAAAATAAATGAACGAAATAAAAAATTTGTTCAAAAGTTAATTACTATTAGAAGCTTCCTCAAGATTACAATAAAATTAGATAAAAGCTCTTTTGCCCGAATATTCTTGGACGTAAATTTGTTCAAGTAATGTCATCACATGACATTTATTATTTAGCAAAACCCAAAACTAATCAAGCAAACTTATCGCATAAAAATAAAATTGATTCCAAATGTTTTATATAGGCACAGCCTATTAAATTGACTTACCCTACATCCTTCAACATTTCGGAAATAAACTTTTTAGCTTCAGAAGCAATTTCATTAGTAAATTTGTACTTGTGTTCCCTGTGTTCTATTAACTGACAATCTCGACAAGTCAACTTGTCGCAAGTTTCACAGAACAGTGACAACTTTTCGTGTGGATGATTCATACAGAATAAGTTGGATGGGCCACCATTTGTGACAGAATGTAATTCAACCAAACCGTCTTCTTTCGGTTTGATGGTGTGGTCTTTTGTTATTTTTAGTCTAAAAAAAATATACAAAGTTGAATGTTATTAACATTAAACCAAAATATAATTAAAGTTATTAATAAATTCTAATAAAATAAATTAATAAATTCTAATTGAACATTAAAAAAATCTTGTTTAAAAACATCATTAAGAGTACAATAGAACTGCCTTCACTTTACAAACCCACAGTTGGTGATATCAATTATTTGTTTTAAAATGTAAAAGGATTGTTTACAATATTTGTGTAAATAAGATGTGATCGAAATTAATCAGAGTTGTAGGATTGAGTTTTAACCTGGCATATCGGGAGTCTTTAAAACTGTAACAATAGGATTAGAACTATTTTTCCTTCAGCTTCCTATTTTAAATAAGAAATTAATGAATCCAGTGATTCAAATAATTATGTGAGTTAGTATTCACGTAGAAGTAATACAGTAAAGCCCCTCTTTTAATCGCAATACTGTTTTACAACATGCAAGAGGAAAGAAGAGGAAAAAAGTGGTTACAGTAGAACCTCTTTAAGTCAAACTTCGATAAGTCAAAAACCTCCAATACTCGAAAAAATGTTTTGTTTCCTTCTCTTCAAGCTCCAAAATCTCCATTACTCGAAATCTCAACCCTCTGTTAGTCGAAATAATCAATGAGTCCATACAAGCCATTTTGGTACATATTTTCTCTATATAACTCGAAAAATTAAATTGCACCTATGTATCTCCAACATAACGATGTTTTATTCTACAATCTTTACAATTTCATTATTTGAAAGCTATTACATACCCCTATAGATAAAAGAAAAATGAGTTACCGACTTTAAAACTGTCGGTTTTTGTCCTATAAAAGATAACGAATTGCAGAAGCTCCGAGCTTGTAGGAATGCTTACTTTAATAATTTGAGCAGTGTTGGAGCCAAAATATCAGTGTTAGTGGACCACTGTTACAAGAAAAGGGCGAAATATACTCTAAATCATTGGGAGTGGCTAATTTCAGGGCTAGTAATAGATGGTAAAAAAATTTCAAAAGAAGACAGAAACTTGTTTTTAAAAAAGTTTGTGGTGAAAGTGCAAGTGTTTATATTGAAACATGTAGCAAATGGAAAACTGAATTGCAAGATTTGTTACATGGCTACGAACCTGATAATATCCTCAATGCTGACGAAACGGGCCGGTTTTTAAATGTTTTCCTAGTAAAACTCTAATTTTTAAAAATGATAAATGCTATGGTGGGAAGCCTAGAAAGGAACGTTTGACTAATCTGATAACAGCAACCACCATTAGTCATTAGTAGAAATACTCACACCATTAGTCATCGATAAATTTTAAAACCTCGTTGTTTTTCAAGATGTCAATCACTACCTTTGAAATATGAAGCAAATACAAATCATGGATAGCTTCTGCAATTTTAAAAACTGGCTCATAAATATTGATAAGAAAATTGCCAAGGAAAAAAGAAAAATCGTATTATTCATTGATTGTACAGCCCATAATGATATTCCGTAAATGAAAGCAGTTAAAATTGAATATCTGCCCACCAATAGAACATCAAAATTTCAGCCTATGGATCAAGCTATCATTCAAAATTTCATTATATCGAAAATAAGTAAGAAACAAGTTAAATCATATGGAAGAAAAAAATATAATTCAACTATATATGTATTGCAAGTCGTGAGAATGGCTGATAAAGTAGCTGAAACCGAAGATATTTCTATTTCCCCTCCTGCCAAATGGAATACAGTGGTTTCTGAATCAAGAATATCCTTTGAGGACTTTATTACGAGCGATGATGGAGTTATATCTGGCTCAATTACTAACAGACATGCTAGCACAAGCATACAATTATAACAATGACCTCAACATAACAGATTTCTTCCAGTTCAGTGAATTCATTAATAATTATCAGTTACCAACAGACTGAAAAGACATTTAAGCTCTGATGTAGTATCCTTGTTTACAAATCTTCCAGTTTCCAGCGTAGTAACGCTGAAAGTTTCCAGTTACCAGGTAACCTTGGAACCAAATCCAACCTCACAGTGAAGTATCGTGGGAAACTTTTTCTGAATTATTAAAATTGACCTATGACAACAATTATTTATTATTCAATGACAAATGTTATCGTCAATTTCTAGTCAAAGGTGACAACATTATCTCTTAGAATTTTCAGATAAAATGGTTTCAGAACTACACGGCTGACGAAATATTCAATGCCTTGGAGGTATATTTAATAGTGTGTTTTTTGCTTTGTGAGTGAACACATGTTTTGGTATGTTAGCTGTACATACAGAATTTATATTTTACTCTGGGAATTACCTTAATTTCCGACTTGGAATATCAAAAAACCTAAAGAAAGATCACAGATTATTAAATAAAATATAAAAAGTAAAAATAATAAAAAGCTTGAAGTTTTTTTAGTTATTTACAAATCATATGTTTTATTAAAACCACTTTTATATTATGAATTAGGATCAATCAATATATTGAACTTGACTCAGCAGTCAGTATCATCAATAAGTCACCAAATGGACGACGAAGTATTGGCAGGGCAAGAAAAAGCTGGTGCTATAATTTAAACAATTTAGGAGGCTAATATTGAAGAAGAAATAGGCTCTTTGAAGCTTATATACAAGGGAAAAGAAGTTTATTAACGCTATATTTATAATAAAATATGTACTTACCTTTGATGTGCTTGCACACAATTATCACAAATAAATTCTGAGCAATCTGCACAATAACTGGTAGCAACAGCATCGTCGCTACAGTTGTTGCATTTCATATCAGCATTTTTGTTGGGATCTTCATTGTTACTGGCCAATTCAAGCAGGAACTGATTTTCTATTATGTGAGCTGGGTTACATTCTATGCCACAAGAAGGACAGTCTATTTGAACTGAAATCATAAAATAAAACCGATTAGGTAACAGCACAAAAGTTTGCCAATTTTTTTTAAATAATCTTTAATTCATCTTCTTAGCAAGATTGTATCTCAATACAAGGTCTGTCTCAAAAGAATCAAATCAACAGATTGTTTATTTTGGTATCTAAACACGCTTCGATATTATTTTACTGCCAATTCTCCTCTTCTCATTATAAAAAGTTATCATTTTTAGGATCACAACTGGTCATAAATGTGTTTTCCTTATTAGAGCCCGTTTAAAATTTGTTACAAACCGTTGAAAAATTGGCATTTTTTTGCTATTAAAATGTCAAATTGAAGCGGTATTCAGAGCAAATAGTAGTGACATTCAAGACTCTTGGTTCATGAGAACATTCAAAAACCTGTATAAGATTTTTTCAGCTGTTTTTCTTTTTCTTTACTGGCATACAACGAATCTCACTACTGAATCTACTGGTAATATATTAAATTTATTAAAATAATCAAACTGAAAAACCTCTTACCTGACATACCATCATTGCTATGTTCATACAATCGACTGTCTATACAACTAGCACAACAGTTATGTAGACATTCCAACAACTTTGGATTATCTGCTGCACTAAGTACCCTGTCACAAAATATGCATTTGAAAGTGAAGCTCTCTCTAGTTGTGGGACTCTCAACAGTTTCGACGTGGTGCTCATCAGTAGCACTGTTGAACACGTCATCTTTAGTAATTTCTTTCGAAGTTTCATTTTCAAGATTGTTAGATTCAGACAGAAGTTGATCTATCATCATCTCTTGGGCAGGTGTAAGTGCTTCGGGTTCATTGTCTGCGATCATCGGATCTGGTTCTGGCAATGCTAGGGGATCCGGTTCAGCAAATCCATCCTTTACACTAGAATCAAAATAAATGGTGTTAGTTACTATTTCTTTTATGACTTTTAAGGTACATACAATCAGTGGCGGTTGGTATATAAGTTTTAAATTCAAACAAAATTACTTTGAAAATTAAATAAAAAATATCACTACTTATAAAATCTAAATTCTTTTAGATGGTTTTCGTGCATGGCCGCCTTTATTTTAATCTGTCGTCCGTCGCATCTCATGGCGACAGCAAGTCCCACTTATTTGACCGGACCGGTGCTACTCCGAGCTGTGAACTGTTAAAGATATCCCCGATAACACCCGCTCAACCCCTCGCCTACACTTTTCAGGCGACGACTGAAAACAATATTTGAGCTGCATTTGTCGCAGTTCGAACTAGTGTGTACAAACCTACGTTTATTGTAATTTTAAATAATCGGTGATCGCGACGCGACGACTGTTAAAATAAGTTGTCCTGCACGTAATTCGGTATTTATATTAAGTATATGAGAATAAAAGTGCTGTTCAGGATGGATGTCATTTATAATTTGATTAATGTTAAGAGATTCTTTAAATATTCTTATGACGAGAAACTAGAATTAAAATGCAAAGGACGTCCTTTGCCGGATATTAAAATCGAAAAAGAAGGATCAAGCCGATGGAAAAATTACAAACGACAATTTAATTGCGATATTTATACGAGAAATAGTTTGGATATGTGGCTGCAACAGAAAAAAACGCTCTTTTCTGTTTTCCTTGTGTACTCTTTGGAGGTGATAAGTCATGGACGCAAGTTGGTGTAACAGACAGTACATTTAAGTGATAAAATAAAAAAGCACGAAACTTCTAAGCATCATTTGCACAATCAAATGGAATATGCTTTATTAGGCTCCGTGAATATTAAAGAACAGTTAGATTCTGCATACTGGATAAATATTCAAAAATTCAATGAAGCTGTAACAAAAAATAGGTATGTTCTCTCAAAAATTATAGACTGCATAAAATTTTGTAGTGTTTTCGAATTGGCGTTTCGGGGACACGACGAGACACAAACATCCGACAATCCTGGAATTTTTCGCGGCCTCATAAATTTTACTGCTGAATTGGATAGAACTTTACCACAACACTTAGAAGAATCGACGGTTTTTAAGGGCATTTCTAAAGAAAATTCAAAATGATATTTTGGACTACATGTTGGAATTATGCCAGGATAAAATTTTGGAGGAAATTCGGGAATCTCCATATCTAGCTGTCATGGCCGACGAGACTACAGACATTTCAGCAAAATCACAAATGGTTGTAGTATTTAGATATTGTCGAAATGGAGCACCGGTAGAACGATTTTGGACATATTTGGTACCTTCAAAATTAAATGCAGAAACTTTAACCAAAAACATTTTCAGTGTTTTGGATCCTATCCTGGAAAACGCAAATAATAAACTAATTGCTCAGAGTTATGATGGGGCAGCGGTCATGTGTGGAAAGCACGCAGGAGTTCAAGCCAGAATCAAAGAAATATATCCATTTGCTCATTTTGTACACTGTTACGCGCATCAATTAAATTTAATAATGTCTAAGGCTTGTTCCGAAAACTCTCAAGTTAGACTTTTTTTTGGAAATTTAAATGAAATCCCTACCTTTTTTAAAAATTCGCCACAACGAGTGGCAGTTTTAGATAAAATCGTCCAAAAGAAAATTCCTCATGGCGCTCCAACTCGCTGGAACTTCAATATTCGAACTGTTAATGTTGTGTTTGAACATCGATCTTCTTTTATCGAATGTATGGAAGAAATAGAAGAATCGTTTGATAAGGCAGCTGTCTGTAGTCAGTAAAAAACTGAAAACTTTGTTTTCAGTGTTAACTATTTTATTTCATATTTATACCTAATATAATGTATTATAGAGCCATGAAAAAAACGTAATTTAGAAGACGGAATCATTTATTGCCATGGATGAATTAATTGCAAACTGAAAATTATAAAGTGATTGTTACACCAGTAACATATCATACTACGGCCCTAAAATATTTGTTATTTAACCCTACTGTCCTGTTCAGGTCTATTTGACCCAAAAAAATCTGTTTTGCAAATTATTACGCGGCGTAACGTTTTGGTGCTTCACGGCTTTATTACCTAATATGAGCTCTTTCAATTGCATACGAGATAAAAATCAACTTTTTGATAAAAATTAAATTGTTATCCAGTGTTCCCAAACGTAAAAAAATAAAATCGGTAGAATTCTTTTAAAAAATCGGTACACTGTGGAGTAAAATCGGTAGATCTTTCAAAATATAATATTTTGTTTAAATTTCTTAATATTTTGCAATTCGTTTATTTCAGAAAAATAAAAAAATGAGAACCGAGATACTGAACTGAAAACGAGAAGGTTGGCACTACTGGCACGTTGGCACTTGGCTGGCAGTAACATATAAGCGTCTATATTCTTTGATCTAACAGTAACGAAGCGGGAAATATAAGGCTTCTCCCTGTTATCACATTTATATTTGTCATGTTCATTTTAAACCATAATATATAATATAATTCTCAAATCATATAATATAATCTCAAACTAAATAGAACATTGAAATAACAGTAAAATAAATAAAAACATTAATTACTATTTAACTGGGAATAAGCCACAATTAAAGATAAAAATACGTTTATTGACGTTTCAATTTCCACTTCGGAAATCGTTATCAAAATACAAACAGTAAATTAAACAAATTTTGTTTTTTGTTACATAGTGAAAAATTCTTCTAATAATTTAATTTTATCTGACTCATTTATATTGACAATTCAGACATACATTATGCATTTTAAAGTAGACGACTTTAAAATGATATTGCCAATATTGTTGAGTTGGGCTCCTGCAACGACTTTACTTATAAGATAGTTCATTCGATTACATGAAATCAACTTTAACTTGAGAATATCCGTCAGAAAAAAATCATAGCATGTAATTCGTCTTTAAAAAGACAAATACATGACATGATGACAGTAAAATTCTCCTGTTAGTGATTCCATAGTAAATTATGAGGGAAAAACCAGGAAAAAAACCTCATAATACTATACCGACATTGTAAGTATTTGTTCGTGAATTTAGTTTACCTTCAACAAACATCAAAATTCTGATTTTATATGTTACGTTAATTAAAAAACATAAATGATGTATCCTCTATATGTTACTGACTTACTAATACTGATATTTTCTTATTAATAACTTCCTCTTTCAATATTGGTAACCAGATCCTACTACATTCTGCCGAGGAATTTGCGACACAATTGGCCTCATTTAGCATAATTAGAGCCGCTTCTTTGATTTTTCTTTTTTACCATCCGTTTCTTTTAGGACTACATTTGAATACATGAATTATTTCCTGTGAGTGGTCCCATTCCTTATTTAGGCTGCATGCAAGATATGTAATTTTGTCGACTATTTTCAAGGGTTCATTATTAGTTGTGAATTGATGCTTTATTGCGTCGTTTTTACTTACCACAAGAATTTTGGTCTTCTTACAGTTTAATTTCATGGCGTATCTGTCACAGGCTTCCACTACAAAGTCTATTAATGTTTGCATATCCTCCGCATTATCAGCAATCAAAACCGTATCGTCCGCATATCTTAAATTGTTTATGATTTCACCATTGATTTTTATACCTTTTCTTAAACCATCAATAGCTTCCCTGAATAGCATTTCCGAGTAAGTATTAAACAACGTCGGTGACAAAATGCAGGCCTGACGTACTCCCCGTTTTATCATGAATTCTTGTGAGGTTTCGTTGTCTACTCATACAGTTGCTCTTTGCTGTAAGTATACATTTTTAATTGGGCGTAAATCTTTGTCATCAATACTAGATTCTTTCAGTATATGAAATAATTTTTGATGTTGCATCTTGTCAAATACTTTTTCAAAGTCTATAAAGCATGCGTAAACTTCGCAATTTACGTCTCGAGCTCTTTGGATCAATACTTGTATTGAAAATAGGGCCTCTCTCGTTCCCAGTCCGCTTCTAAACCCAAACTGAACACTGCTAATGTTTTCTTCAAGTTTCTATATATGCGAGAGTGAATGACAGAAAGAAGGATTTTGAGTGCATGGCTCATTAAGCTTATAATTCTGTAATCAGAGCATCTGGTGGCATTTGCCTTATTGGGGAGATGGATGAAGGTGGAAACTAGCCAATCTGTAGGAAATGCAGTTTCTAGTTTTAGTATGTATTAATCACTTTATTATATAAAATAAAAAATTAAGTTTACATCAGTGTCGGTTTAAAAAAAATATAGGTCACACAACCGATAATTACATATTTTTACGGTTTTCCTTAGCTGTAATGTAAATTACTATTTTTCGTATTCGAAAAGCTGGCATTTTTTTAAATAAAAAAAGTGGTCCTACGATAATTAGGAACGAAGTTGGTCCCTTTTCTAAAAATGTAAAACTGGTTTGTTTACAAGAATTAAGCAACCCAATTAGCGGCATTTGAAACATCAAGGGCTGAAGTTTTAACAAGTTTCAAAAAGGTGGCCTTTGAAAGGAGTATAAAAAGCTTCAAAATGTAAAGCTCCAATTCGGTCAGCTTGGAGTAGTGGGGGGGAAATTTAAAATCCGCGTTACCAAAAAATTAAATATCAGCTTCAAATTCGAGATGTAAATTAAATCTCCGGTTGTTGTTGATGGATTTTTTTTTTTTATTTGTATGTACTCTTGTCATGTACACAAACGATGAATACGCCTTTTGATAAGAAATTATATTTATGTTATTTTAACCATATAAATTGCTTAAACAATTTACATGATTATATAATTTTTTATAAAAAAAAAATTACCGATATTTTTAGAATGGTTTTTATTGTAAAAACTAGAAATAGTTTGTCAAGAGTTGCCATTTACACTTAAATTTACAATAAATTGTAAATAATTATAATTTTAAAACTCTACTTTTTACTGGTAGTCGAAAAAAATTACAGCCTAACTGCATTTACCCTTTTTCAATGCAAAGCTTTAATGAAATAAAAAAAATTAAGTCTGAA